CAACAATTCCTACCAAACAAATCCTGATCCCTTGCACGCTAGGAACCTGTCCTCGCTGAACATGTGCTTGAAGGATTAACAATTACTCTGCATCAATCATCCTGCACACTAGATTGTTGCACGCACAGTTTCAAAGGCTTTGAATAGCAGCTATTGCCACACAGACCAGAAATTTACACTAACGCAACATACACCGTCATGCAAGCAATAACAACAGTATCAGGGTTAGTCCTTTGCTTGTACAGTTGCAGGTTTCAGGTTGAAAAAAAATATTTTAAGGCCAAATGTCAGATTTTGCATTGTTACCTTTAGGACTCTGGGACTTTCTATGCATTGTGTTGCTCCAAGGGATAGAATGGCGGTTGTGTGGGTGGGTGGGGGCAGGATAGTTGTGTGCAGCTGATGGGAGACAGGAGGCTTAAGAGGCCAAATGGCCTTTTCCTGTTCAGAGAATGCATTTAGCTTTTATCCCTCCTGCTCACAGCTTTTCACTTGCAAACGCAGCTGCATGGAACTCATCGCTTTTGACAAGTGAATCGAAAACTCCCCACTCCTGCAGGGTAGGGTGTTAAAAAGAAACCACTTTCCTGACATTTCAAAAGCAGAAAGTTTCCCCCATAATTGACTGGAATTCTTAGAATAAAATGCACTGGTTCACATAAAAGGTCTTTATTTTGAACTAGCTTTGATTTATTGAACATTTCCTGGGCTGATCAATCATTCGTGTGATTTTAAAAGGTTCCCTATGAATCTGGGTGATTTTAAAGCTTTCCTATAAGACGGAGAGAGTGGAATAGTCTGCAAACACAAAGCAGCCATCATCACTTTGCTCTTCAGGCTGCAAGCATTTAACATCCATTCAGTGCTGAATTCCAAACTAATGTGGTGCAAATGCCCACAATGCAATCCCATACAAGAGATTGTCACCTCGTCACCTCATCTCCAATTTTTATTTGATCAGTGAGGCGCAACTTTGATATCTAGCAATTTACGTAAGCAAACTGGATTTGGGGTGAATTAAATTGAGGCCAATATCTGACCAGATTCATGTGAATTCAATTGAGGTCAATATCTGATTGGCAGACAAAACTCAAGCTGAACATCTCCTCTGAAGAATGTCTATCAGATTGGCTGGGGAGTGGGGTTGTTGCTATAATAAAACAGTTTCCTCAGAGGCACAGAAGAGTCAAGAATTCAGGTCGTCACTCCCCGAAAGTGTGCATATTAAACTCAGGATTTGCTTCAGCTGTGAGTTCTTTCACCCCTCCCCCATCTCCCCTTCCCTCCTGTCAAATTGTCTGTTGACACACATTGATTGTGTTCACACTTGAAGAACAATGCCAAACAGTGGAGAGTTTGCAGCACCCATTCAACTAAATCTCTGGACAAACCCTCACATTCAGTAAATAAGTGGTAAAACAGTTCCATTCAGTCCATACAAACACACCATTAGAAAACTGAAGCCTTTGTAGAACAGATTGGTGGATTCATCACCACAGGCTTTTAACGAGGTTTCACTGTTGTTTAACAGAGGTGCCATTACATCTGGCTCCCACACCCAAACCCCAATTAAGGAGTAGTGTGGAGATGGTCCATATCAATAGGACAATCAGGAGTGCAAGCACAGCACAATAATTTATTTTCTCAGTCCTCACCAAATCAGCACTAAGTGTGTGTATAAATGCTGATATATATATGTGTAATAATAATCCTTTTAATACAGTGCCTTATCACGTCTTCTAGACATTTCTGCCACTATCACCCCCACCTTGAAGAAACCTTCCCTCGACCCATCTCCCTGAGAGAGCTGTTGCCTCCCAGCTTCACTCTTTCCTCTCCTCTCACTCCCGCCATGAATCCCTCCAATCGGATTTTCGTGCTGCCCACAGCATGGAAACTGCTTTGGTCAAAGTCACAAACGACATCCTGACCATGTGTGACCAGGGCTCCCTCTGCCCCCTCTGCCTCTCCGCCGAGGGTGCCTTATCAGGGTATGTGCAGGTACGCACATGTATGTTGTGCACACAAGGGCATTTCCCTGACTGTATTTAAAGGGAGCATCCCGAAATACATGTGAGCACATCCTGTGTGTTGCTTAACCTGTTCACACTCCCCATAATGGGTGGAGAGCAGTACAAGACCCCACTTGTAACTATGCCTTGTAAAGAGTGGCAGAATCCCGAGGCAGGGGGAAGGCTTGGTCCCTCCACCTAAAGGGAGGGCGCAGAGACCACAAGGGGCTGGGTCTGTTGCGTCCTGTAATGGGATAATAAAGTGCTGCATTTCTTATAATATAATAATAATCCTTGCATTTGATATAGCGCCTTATCCCATCGTCAGGACGTCTCAAAGTGCTTCACAGAATATATTGTAAAGTGAATTGATTTTATATTTTGTGGGCAAAACGCAGCAGCCAATTGTGCACAGCAGTGTGTCCCACAAACAGTCGTGGATTGAGTGACCAATTTTTTTTAAGGTATTATTCTTCTGTCACAGGATTGGATTCCTTCTGAGATAAGTGTAAATATACATCTACCTATATATGTATATATATTATTTTATATACATGTAGATACATAGTTACACTTATCTCAATATATATACACACACACACATACTGTTTTAAAAAAACTAAGTGTGGCAGAGTTTAAAATTATCAAATACCCTTTGCCCTCCTTGTTTATATAAAAACATCATTCTCCGTTGTAACATTTGAATGAGCAGTGAGCCAATTCTATTTACAAACATCCAGTATTTTTTCCCAGAAATGAGTCAGTATGCACAAAATAAATCAAATTATAATAACAACAGCCTACGACATAGCGCCTTAACACGTCTACGAGATGTCTCAAAGCGTTTCACAGAATATACTGTAAAATGAATTGACTGTATATTTTTGTGGGCGAAACACAGCAGCCAATTGCGCACAGCAGTGACTAAATTATTATTATTATTTTAAGGGATTATTACCCCCTTAAAAAGGATGTAATCCTAAAAATGTATATATATATGTACACACACACTATACCAAGATTATTCTACTTGCTGCAAAAATTCAACCTCAACAACAAAAATGGGATTATCTTTCTTTTTTAAAAAAAGAAACTAACCTTTATCACGATTGCTCACAGAAACTGGTGTAAATCCAACTTGGGGGTGTAACTCACCAAACCATACGTGCACACACACACACACACACACATACACTTACACAACAGATAATATGTTGCAATGGATACTCTCAGATGGGATACAAAGTAAACCAACGAGACATTGATTGAGTGGATGCTCAGTGTGATGAGTTATCAATGAATTGTGATGGATGGGTTAGGGTTAGGGGGTGGGGGGTGGGGGGGGGTCTTTATATACAATTAATAAAAGCAAACCTTGCAGTGAGGGGCTGTGTGGGGTGGTGTGTGTGGGGGGGGGGGGGAGTGTGGGGGTGTGTGTGGGGTGTGTGTGTGGGGGGGGGGGTGTGGGTGTGTGTGTGGGGGTGTGTGTGGGGTGTGTGTGTGTGGGGGTGTGTGTGTGTGGGGGGAGTGTGTGTATGTGTGTGGGGTGTGTGTGTGTGGGGGGGGTATGGGTGGGGGGGGTATGGGTGGGGGGGGTATGGGTGGGGGGGGGGCGGTGGGGGTATGGGTGGGGGGGGTATGGGTGGGGGGGGGCGGTGGGGGGGTATGGGTGGGGGGGGGTATGGGTGGGGGGGGCGGTGGGGGGTAGGGTGGGGGGGGGTATGGGTGGGGGGGTATGGGTGGGGGGGGCGGGGGGGGGTATGGGTGGGGGGGGTGTGGGTGGTGGGGTGGGGGGGTATGGGGGTGGGGGCGGTGGGGGGGTATGGGTGGGGGGGGGTATGGGTGTGTGTGGGGGGTATGGGGTGGGGGGGATATGGGTGGGGGGGCGGTGGGGGGTATGGGTGGGGGGGTATGGGTGTGTGTGGGGGGTATGGGGTGGGGGGGGGTATGGGTGGGGGGTATGGGTGGGGGGGTATGCGTGGGGGGGTATGGGTGTGTGTGGGGGGGTATGGGTGGGGGGGGTATGGGGGGGTATGGGTGGGGGGGTGTGGGTGGTGGGGGGGGTATGGGTGGGGGGGTGTGGTGGTGGGGGGGTATGGGTGGGGGGGTATGGGTGGGGGGGGTGTGGGTGGTGGGGGGGGGTGTGGGTGGTGGGGGGGGTATGGGTGGGGGGGGTATGGGGTGGGGGGGTATGGGTGGGGGGGTATGGGGTGGGGGGGGTATGGGGTGGGGGGGGGGGGGGCAGAGTGCTGGATTGATTATTTGTGAAATTAAATATTCCAAGTGGTTCAGACTCTAACCCGACAGATGGGGCTGACACCCTGGTTTGGATTTCCCTGGCGACCCCCTCCCCTAACCCCCCCCCCCCTCCCCTAACCCCCCAACCCCCCCCCCCCCCCCCACACACACACACACTCAATAGGGTTCATAGAGAGTTGAAAACACAACCCCGATCCTTAGTAGATGTAAGAGTCTGATCCCATTCAATCTGTCGTCCCAAACCCAAGGCACCAAAGCCAGGACAGGGGGGGGGGGATGGGGGGGGGATGGGGGGGGGGGGGGGGGGGGGGGGGGATGGGGGGTCCCATTGAATCAACACCGACACAGAGCTCTCAGGGAGACCCCAGGAATCCCCGAAATAACACATCTCAAACATCACAGAGAAAGGGGAGCGGCAGAGATGGGCACTCGGTGAATGGAGACAGAAACCAACTCGTCCCACAGTGTACACACACACACACACACACACTGCAACATCGAATCCATGTACCCCTCCACACGCACACACTAAGTATACATATACACACATATACACATCATATATAATACGTCGACGAGGCTGTTCTGCATCAAAGAGGCAGCGGAACGGTGTTTACAAGTGTCACCATCGCGCATTGAGAGATGAGATGAGACGTTAAAAGTGCAAAGGGATTAGAATATATAAAAAAAAGAAGTTGCACAATCCGTTTGGCGGCGACTGTTACCCACCGAGAAGCCCAAGTTCCCAAAGGCTGTCGTTGCTGCTGCAGTTGACATCCACTCCCATCCACTGACCACCGCTCTCTCACTCTCTCTCTCTCTCTCTCTCTCTGCCTCAATACTCTGTCAAGTGAACTTTTGCAGCACTCACTCACTCTCTCTCTGTGTGTGTGTGTGTGTGAGATGAGTGTTGAGCTCTCTCCTCGTACAGAGTGAGTGAGTGGGTGAGTGGATGGATGGATGGATGGATGGATGAGAGAGAGAGAGAGAGAGAATGAGCCACACGTCTGTCTAACCTGCAGATGTTGTCCTCACCCCAGACATTCCTTTTGTTTGGTGGATGCAGATCTCTACCCATCGATTCGGCCACTCATTCATCCCCTCCAGGTAAACCTGATTGGATGGTAAGATCTGGCAGAGATCAGGTTAATCTGCAGGGCTTCCTCTGTGTCCTAATGCCCTTTCGTTTTAACAGCTTTAAAACAAAAGTGTGCAGAGACTGTGACCCCTAGAGGATGACAGGGTGGGCCACACCAGTTCTCTCTCATGTGTAAGGACTGGACTGATGGTTCTTCAAAGACCAGCACAGCCCTCACCTGTCTGGGCTTTTTCTTCTACTGCACAGAGATTTAGAAAAAAGGGAAAACGAAATGATCTGCAATGGTTTTATTTCCAGGGCAATGCATTTGGAATTGCAATTCCCATTCTGGAAGTGATAAACCAGTTACTGGGAGCAGGTTTACATGTGATGATCAATTCAGATTGCTTTGTGTATGTGTGTGTGTGTGTGTGGGGGTGGGGTGGTCTAATAATATTCAACTTTCTAACCTACGTTTGGAAAAGATAACGTTTTGTGTGTTTGTAGTGTTTTTTTTTGTTAATTTCAATGTCACGCCTCGTGACTATTTCCTGCAGACATACGTAGAAATATGTGTTCCAAGAAGCTACCTCGCGTGAAGAGTGGTATATAAATGCAAGTTGTTGTTGTTGTTGTTGTTGTTGCTGAATATCAGCCTGGGCTGTGAGCTCAAGCCCCAACAAGGGTTTGCATCCACTGGCCCAGAAGATAAAGTGCTACAAATAGAGCTAAACTGACACATACATCAAAAGGAATCAAGCAATTCTTAATGCCTCCTTTACACTACACTTATGGAAATAGGTTCAAATCCGGGATCTGTGATATAATTACTTTGATTCACTTCCAAACTCCTTGAAACCAGAACGATCCCATCAGAGTGAGTTGTGTTTTTGGTGCATTGTGAATCCAGCGGTAGTATGGTTGAAACCAATGGATTATGTGCCTCATAATGCATAATGTGAGGCATTTAATCCATTGGTTTCAACTATAACTATATGTGTTAGCTTCACTCAATGGTAGTACACTCGCCTGTGATTCAGAAGGTGATGAATTCAAACCCCACATCTGGACTTGAACTCACATGGTCTAAACAGACACTCCAATGCAGTGTTGGGGATGTACTGCATTGTCAGAGGTGCTGGCCTTCAGATGAGATGTTAAACCAAGATCAAGTCTGCCTGATCAGGTGGATGTTAAAGATCCCATGGCACTATTTGGAAAGAGAAGGGAGTTTCTCCCGGTGTCCTGGCCAACACTACCCCAAATAAAATCAGTCATTTGTTTCATGGCTATATCGGGACATTGCTGTGCGTAACTGTGCTGCTACATTTGGCTACAAATACACAGTCACTCCATTTCACAGTAACTCCTGTGAAGCGCTTTGAGACATCCTTCCGACATGATAGGGTCCTGTACCCAATGCAAGAATTAATACTAATAATAATCACTATGATTGCTACAGGACTAGAAGCACTAACAAGCAAAGGGCATTCTTCCCATTCGGCTACTGTTAACCCTGCAAGCAAAAGGCCGAATGGGTAAGCTTGTCCTAGCCGGACAATCAGCAGGAAGCTTGCCAGGCAGTGTTCACGATTGTAAGCTACACGGTTTTAACTGCATCCTCCAAAAATATATAGCAATGAAGTGATAAACTGATGTAATTTCATGCACAAGTTATAGCCTGACATCAAAGCATGTAACATGCCATTTTGGGCAGGTCAAAGACAGATTACTTTGTTTTTTTTTGACTGTAAAAGCTTAATATTGTGCAGCATGCTACAGTATGTAGGGCATTTTGTTGTTCGGGTCAATGTTAAAGATCTCATGGCACTATTCAAAAAAATAGAGAATTTCTTCCGAGGTATACTGGCAGATTAATTGGTCGTTCAACTTCAAGGCTATTTGTGGGATCCGGTTGCCACATTTGTCTGTGATAAAAATGCAATTACATTTGACAATTATTACCTGCAAAATACTTTGAGGGTCTTCAACGTTTTAAGCATTACATCAAATGCACTGATTATTATTACAAAACATGAGGCAGATGGATCTAACTGTGCGCTGATCTGGTTTAGGGTTTTCATCCTGCTCTGATTCATTGGGAGCTCGGGCAGACTGGTTGTAGAGAATAATAAAATGGTAAATCACAGTCAGGATGAAATGTACTCTATGGCCTATGGGAAGCACTGGCAAGATGACTCTTACAAACTATTCAAAACTGCACCATGAGAGCAGATTAAATGATTCACTGGAGCAGATCCAGCCCTCAGGCATTTTGTTGTGCAACATTATCGTACACTGACACATTTGCAGTACAAACACAAAGTGTTTCCTCTGGGTTTTTTTGACTGGCAGAGACACATCATCAACAGCAACAACAATAACAACTTGTTTCGCCCATCAACACAAAAAAAGGGATTTTTAAAAAAAAAATACATTCATGTCTGTGTTTTAGAACTGTCTGACTCTTTAATTCTTCAAAATAATTCTCAGTTCTTCACCTAACCCATTTGCACCATGTGCAATGTCAAACATCCTTGGTAATCAAAAGCGATATTGTAAAGTCACATGAATAACTCCTTGTATGTTGAGGAAAAGTCTCCTGCCCTTCCTGAAGGTGGGGTAAGGTAACCCAATACATATGTGATGTGGTTCAGTTAATGTGCAGCAACGTGACTCATTTTCTCCCAGATCAGTGCCAACGCTTTAAATTCTGGCCTATCTGTAAACCATCATTCACATTAATTTATCTGTACACCTTGGGAATGTTTTGAAGGAAGAATCTAGATAGATAAATGGATATAATTGTTTTGATCTATTTCAGAACTCTCTGCAGTTCAATTAAACTTTGGGAAGTGAGACTCATATATTTCTGCTCTAATTTTTTTTGGAAACTTAATTTTACCTACCTATTACAATAAGGAAAGGAGCGGGTCTTATGCTCTGAATTGATCAGCCATGATCTAATTAAATGGCGGAACAGGCTCAAAGGGCTAAACGGCCTCCTTCTGTACCCATGTTCCTAATTCGCCCGTATTACTCCCCAGCATACAATGACAATAAGACGTCTTTTACCACGGACAGCCCACAAGGTTAATGAGCTGACACCCTTGAGATTTTCACAACAGTATTTATTCGCTGTCTGCCATCATTCTACCAATTGAAAATCTTAACAGCTGCTCTCAGAACAAACCACACACTGCAGAAATTACATGGAAAAGAAGAAACGTTGTCATGACAACATCAGAGCCATCAATCAATACGATAAGCAACGAGAGCTAAATCAACCAACAAAAGAGGACCAATAAGGTCCTGTACGACAACAGTTCATTATCTGATGAAAATGAAGCAAACCCAAGCCTTCGAGGTGTCAGGCCATAACCATTGTAACTCTGCTATTCATTTTGCATTGTTAAAACATTTAAAAACAATGGGCGATTGGCTTCACAGATGGTCTTTTAAGGCAAATCCATAAAATTTAATTACACAGTGTCTTCTCAAAGAATATTGTTATCATGAGCCACTGAATAGGGGACTGTAAGGAAGGATGCTGGCCTTTCACCTTTGAGAGCTGGATTTAAATCCACCTCAGTCTTGTGAATGTTTTGACCTGCACTTATACATTTTTTTTGTGTCATGAGCAAACAGCCCAGGTTAGAATCCCTGTACCTTAGGTGTTGTATGCCGGCATCGCAGGGGTAAATATAATCGGGCAAAGGTCCTGCTTTTGATTACTGTCCAGTGATCACCCTTGCTTGAAAGTGCATGTGTGTGGGCATTAGACGATAACAGAATCTGGCCTGTATCCTTGATCCCTTTCCTCTGTGACAAAAAAAATCCGCAAACACTCACTATTTCAGCTTGCGCATCAATAATAGCCACTTGGACACCCAGTACCCATGGAACTATACTCCAGTAAGAGTCATTGCCTTCAAAATAGGATAAGTAAAAAAATGGCAACAAAGCAATTTGATTTGGGGAGTATTGAAATAAGAAAAAAAGACAAATGTATAAACATAGCAAATAAGAATCAGTACATTGAATGAAACAAGCACTCAAAGATATTTGGGGGAGCTTCAGAGAGAAGATTACCGAGGGAATGGACTTTATTAACGTTACGTAGAAATGACTGCTCGGCTTGCAGATAAATCTCAACGTAGCTAGCTGATGGCTCAGAATAAGTGAGCATTGAGTTAGCAAAAGTAGCTCAAAAGTACAGAAAAGCTCAGAAGGAACGGAGTTATGAAAATTGATTTATGTTGCTACCTTAATTCTCTTTTGCCTGGAGGGAGAGAGGTTTCTGAAAGATAGGCTGTCTTTTTCCAAGGCAGCGATAGGGAGAAACATGTTCCTAATATACGCAGTCGAAAACTATGCAGTAGGGAGGTATTGAACATTCCAGTTCGAAAGATGTGACGCCAGTTAATAAAGAACACGAGGAACCATGGTGGTCAGCAGGGTAAAACATTCCCTGTATAAACACTGCCAACCAGGATCCTGTTCAATTTAAAAATTGTGTGTTTTTATTTCCTCAATTTAAAAATTGTACAAAGATAGCAAAAATATCTACCGAGCACAAATTACCAGTCCTGGGTGCAAGCAAATCCATGGTTTCAATACAAAAATCTCCAATCATTCATTCCTGTGCAATTATTTCTCAATTTTCAATGAAAATACAATTCTAAAATAGGGGATCCTTTAAGCATGATTCTGGAAAAGAATAGGTACTAAGGACGATCAGCTGAATCATACAGAAGAGATGTGTTATTGGATAATGTGCAGAAAGTTCTGTAGTATGGAAGAGGCCTGCTTGCAAACAGATTAAAGAAATTGTAAGGATTTAGCATCATAATCAAGAACTCCCAGTGGCCTTGTCCATGAGGTACTGGCCAGTGTAGCACAAGGCGATTTCAAAGTAATTGTTGCAGGTTTGATTCCCTGTGCTGAATCAATTCATTTGGGTTTATTACAGTTAAGCTC